CAACATACAAGTTATGTAAAATACAATCCCGTGTTTTGCTTCTGTCTTTTAACCTACAGTTATTAACCTGATACCCCTTTCAGCCTTTTAACTGTACATTTAGCATACAGTGTAAATAATCTTTTATTTAAGTGGCAGAACGGAACGTTTGGAAAATTAGTTCAGTTGTTACAGCCTCTGGGTAATTGAGATGAACACGGGATGGGTACAGGTATGCTGGTGACCCTGTTCATCCCCGTGCAAGAGCTTTTCACTCTTTGCTAGTTTTGTACAGAAGCATTTACCTGAGCATAATTGACTGGACAGAAATGGTGTTTCTTGGCTGCTTTAACTTATGCTAGTCTGTGAAGTGACAAACAGGAGGAAGCTGGACAGTGAATTTTCCACCTCTTTACGCTTCTACAGCATGTAACCACAATTTCATTGTGTGGTTTTCTTACAAAGAGAACCTCAGCCTCACTCACGTCGTGTTTCTATTTTGTTTTCCTCAATAGTCTTCTCAGTCTCACTGGTTGACGACAGAGGAGAGGAGCCAAGTTTTACTTGATCTCAAAGCTTCGGGCTGGTCTCAGTTAGACGAAAGAGATGCCATCTACAAAGAGTTCAATTTCAAAAATTTTAATCAGGTAATTATTGTTATACACTGCTTTTAATATAAAGGAAATGTAATTGTCTTAATTTCCACACAGTCCTGATGGGAAAATATTTATGTTCAGAAACCTGTGAGTATCCTTGTGGGGCCAAACCCTCTTGAGTTGGCCTCAGCAGATTGCTGTCTCATTAGGTGGCATAAATTAATTCAGTTTTGTATTTGTTACGTAGATTTGTTCTAATACTACTATTTCTTGATTATAGTATTAAGGTCAGGGTCAGTACTATGGGATTAGACAAATAATATTTGATCCTGATTTATCTTTTTTCATTACTAGCACTCATAAATGCTGGAAATAGGTAACTGGTGGGCAGCGGGGTTCATTTTTGTCAGGGAAAAACTTGAGAAAAATAGGTAAATAAAAGAACAGAAACTTTTGGCATATGAGGTGGGGAAAATATGACACATTTCGCCTTCTGAAGACTAAAACAAAGTTCTAGTATATCTTGAATGAATCATAGTAGCCGATCTCACAGTGTCTTCAGCACAGCAGGCTGCTGGTTAGACCTCGCTGGATTTTTATTTGAAGTCAGGATCCTGAGCCACATCTCAAACTCACAAGAACAGATTTTGGACATCAGTGTGCCCCCAACAGCAGGTATCTAGAAACCCATTGTTTGGGCAAAAGGTGGCAAGGTTGTAAGATAAACCTACACAATAGAATAACCCACAACATCAGTACGTATCTGTGTGTCTTCCTAATTTGAAGCTTGACAAAGCACATACTGGTGTAGGCAGTTGAGTATATTTTAATCTGCTCATTAGTAAATGATGATTTATACTTCTAGTATATGTCATCTTAGAAAGGGTACTCAAAAAAGATTGCTGCTTGAATTGTTTGGGAGGTACTGGTACCGTCTCTCCCGTTCTTGGTTGTCCTTCATGGGTGACGTGTACAGCAGAAATGAGAGCAAAGGCTGGGAATTGGCTTGAAAACTGGACTTTCTGTGCCCAGCCCAGAGAACCAACTGGGGGGCTGGTCCTCTCTGCAGCTCTGGTCGGATCCAGGTTACGTGTGAATATCTGAGGGCAGAATTTCCCCTGCTGTTTTTATGGACTGCCGACGGTGTCCTCATTTCCAGCTGCAGGGGCAGAGGCCGGTCCTACCGTGGTCCAGGAAAGGGCTCAACCTGCAGATCCCAAGGGGATGCTCAGAGCTGGTATTGCAGAGCAAGTATTTGTGTCTCGATAAATTAAAGCTCAAAGTAAATTAAAATTATGTGTGTGTGCTTGTAGTAGTAGTAAATTGACTATTATTGACTAGTAGTAAATATTGTGCTTGTTACAACCTAGGGAACAAGTGACAAAAGCAGAGTGATACCGTGTTGTACTTCGGGTGAATTTAGTCCTGCAATGAAAAAGAATTGAATTTGTAGGTACAACTTCTTTCGTTTCATGTAATAAATACTCGGTTTATAGTATTTAAAGTGCGAGTGTTTCGTAAAGTCAAAGGACTGAGAAATATAATTTCCTTGGTCATCTTCCTCCTGCCCTTTCACAGATGGCATAAAATCAGGTGTTTAAAAAAAAAAATAGTTGAGCTGACATGAAAGGTATTTCAGATTTATGTTTTGCAGATGATATTGGTATGATTAATGTATTCATTGCTTTTTTTATTGCTTCTCGCAGATAATGTTCATGATGCATGGAAAATTCTGTGGCTTTAAAATCTCTGCCAGGTTTACAAAGTCTGTGTATGTCAACAGATGTTAAGAATATAAACACAACTTTTATTATAAAGTCGTGCAAATGTGTAGACATGAGCTTGGTTTATGTGTATTATTTTCAGCATGAGAATGAAATGAAACTTCTGTGAAACAAGAGTTATTTAGATTCCTGAAGCTTTCAGGCTGAGATTAGCTCGGTTAAAAGCGATCAGCAATGGGCTGCCTTTGTAAGGCTGACAAGCTAATGACAATTCTGGCTTATGGAGTTAGTTTGTAACCCAGAACTTGGAAGTGCTGTGCTGTTTGTTAGTCTGAAGATGCATTTTCATGAAAGTGGGCTTTGGAGGTACAGTTCTCTGAAACAAACTGGAAACCAGCCTGGGGTCCCAGTTGGAAGCCCTTTGTTAGTTGTGTGGCTGTGGGTGCCCACCAAGCACTGGTCCCAGCATGGAATCCCAGAGTGGTTTGGGTTGAAGGGACCTTAACGCCCGCCCAGTCCCACCCCCTGCCACGGGCAGGGACACCTTCCACTAGACCAGGTTGCTCCAAGCCTCATCCAGCCTGGCCTTGGTCATTTCCAAGGATGGGGCATCCACAGCTTCTCTGGGCAACCTGTCCCCACTCCTCCCCACCCTCTGCGGGAAGAATTCCTTCCTGATGTCCAAACTACATCTCTCCTCGTTCAGTTTAAACCCGCTACCCCTTGTCCTGACACTACAGGCCCTTCTAAAAAGTCTCCCCTAGCACCTTGGACTGGGCAGCGTTAGTGCTGGGTGCTGCTCTGTGTTCCCTTCGCCTTCGGCGTGAGACAGGCTCCTGGTTGGGTGGGTGTTCTGAGTCTTGCATAAAACACAAAACACACCAGCAGGGTGATGAAAAATGCAACTCAGCTTGTGGAGGAGATCACCTTGCCTGGAAGAGCTGTGCTGCTCACACCAACTCAGCCGTTCCTCCTCACGCCTTGCAGTTGCTACGTGTTATTGCCACCGTCGAACAGCGGGTAGGCAGTGATGAGTAAAAATCGGGAGTTGTCTACCCCCAGGACCCTCACTTGGGTGCACTTGCTCAAGAGCTCCCTGGTTGAGGAGCTTTCCCAGGGGAGTGTGTGCTTGGTGACAACCTCAGGCCATGGGCGAGGTCTTGGAGAGCGGGTTGGCTCGGACCACTCCATGGCAACACGTCTGGGTACTGGTGAGCATCCCTAAACCTCACAGCCACATCAGAGAGCTTATTCAGGGCTTTGCCCTGTCTGCAGGGAAGAGAAAAGCAGCTAGCAAGGCTTTTGGGCGACTGTGCAGCATCAAGAAGGCACGCTCTTGTCCATCTGTGTCTTTGCACTACCGAAACAAGAAGTTTCTCTTCTAGCTGTGGAAGAAACGCTCTGCTTCTCATCTGCCCCAGCAAAATTTGGAATTGGGATAGGAATTTAATTTATGCCTCCAGACTGTGCAGGTAACTTGTCCCAGTTATTGTTCTGCAAACTCAGAAAGGAAGCCGCAGAAGCGTTGGGACTATTGCTACAAGTTGGTCATTGAGGGAGGGAAGGGTTGCTGAGGAACTCGATGTCCTGGCTTGTATCTGGGGCATTTCCTGGGATTTTCTCAACGGTTTGGGTCAGCACACCTCAGGAAGGGTGATCCCAAAGCAGACAGATCTTGTGTAAAAATCTGAATTTCCCCAGATCTGTCTCAAGCCCTGTCCCGGCTGGGCAGGCATCTGCGAAGGGCTGTGGGTGATGGGTGCTGAGCCCTTGGTTTGCGTCCTTTACCCAGCTGCTCGTTTTCACCAAATTTGCAGGAACATCTTAACTTCGAGATTTTCATGTCTCTTGTCAAAGTTGGTTGGATTTGACCAGAGGGTTTAAGGGGCAACTGCCTGTGTGATTGCATTTCCTTAGGTAATCACGCAGAGGCAGAAAATGCAGTTAGGAAATTACAAAGGTGGGCATGGTTGCTGATGGTCAGGTTCAGTGTTTACAGCTGCTTTCTTTTATAGGGTAAGTTTTTAATTAAGGTTGGGGTTCTTTTTAAAAAAAAAAAAATCATGTAGGAAGTCTCCATAAGACCTCTAACGTCATTTTATAAAATGACAGGAAATCAAATGCTCTTAAGAGTTTTACAAACTATTTGAAATACGTTTTGTGTTTTGGGGCTACAGGACACCAGTGAAAGATGAGCCTGAGCGGAGGGGACGGTCAGGAGATGCTTTGGAGGAGGGTGCACGATGAGGGTAGAAGCATGTGTGTGTCGTTGCAATTGGGGGGTTGAGAACTTATTTAATGATGTTGTCATTGCAATTGACAGATTGGGGGTTTGAGAACTTATTTAATGATGTGCAAAAAATCTAGAACACTCGGATAAAGGATTAGTCTCACTTTGCATTTACTTTCCAAATTTTCTAGCTTTTTTGCTTGAAATCCAGGAGAAAAAGAAATCAGAGCATGGCTTTTTTCCCCCTCGTTGAAATGCCAGTTATTTACCCTTAGCTGCAGGGGGACACACTCAGATTTGCCCCCTTACACCCTGGGTGCATTGTCCCAGTTACACATCCGAACAAGTTTGGTGGGATAGGCCATGAATATCCTCTCTCTGTTGTGGTGGTGGTACTTGGGGTCAGCCCCTGTAATGTCACCTGCGTCGATGCTTCCTTTTGCCACTCCTGATGCGTTGCTTTGGCTTCTGCCCTGAGCAAAGATTGGAAAATGTGGGTTTGTACACGGCGGCGGCGTATTTCATTGCCGCTTTATGTACTTAATCTTTTGGATGTTTGAACGACGTCCACGCCTTTTACGCATTGAAAACATAATATCCTTTAACCTACAGAAGTAAAATGAATTTCACATTAAATATTCGGTCGTGGACCACATCTTCAGCTTTTTATATGCCACAGCGGCCTTGTGGGTTGTGGTTTTTTTTTTTTTTCTTCTCCATTGTCTGATAGTGAGGTCATTTTCAGTCCTCGGAGAAATTTTATTCCCAGCCAGATGCGGGCCATATATTAAAAGTAGCACCTGTGGCTAATATCACAGCAGCTTACCATAAATTTACATGGTAACTAGGATTATATCTGTCAAGACTGTTAAAAAATGTCTAGGTTTAATTTGATTTCCAGTATTGAAGGAGCTCTCCAACATTTTGCTTCATAACTATATTTTAAAAGTTAAAATCACTCCATTGTTAAGTTTTATAGCACTCCCAGTGCCCATTAAGTTGATTTGTTAAATGGGGGTCAGAAGAAAGCAAGTTGGCTACAGGAGGATCGGAAACCAAGCCATTTGTGACAAATTTAGTCCTCGCGTGTGAATCTT